ATAAAAATAGACTGCCCTTCCCAATGGGATGGGCTTTCTCTAACCCACTGGCTACCTGAATATAACAGAAAGACCAAGAGAGAATTTGCTTTTGCTCTGCCTGGCTCTGTTTCCATAGGACATCAGTTTCCTTGCACTTTTCTCAGACAAGAATGGAAATCACTGGTTCTCCTAGGATCCTTGGAGTGCAACAGGAATCATACTTTTTTCCAGTACTGGGCCTGCAGCTCTCCAACTCTAAATGTGGGGCTTTAAAAAAAAAATTATTTATTTATTTAGTGTATGAGTGGCCTATATGCATGTATACCTTCATGCCAGAAGAGGGCATCAGATCCCATTATAGATGGTTGTGAGCTACCATGTGGTTGCTGGGAATTGAACTCAGGACCTCTGAAAGAGCAGACAGTGCTGTTAACCACTGAACCCCCTCTCCAGTCCCCAAATGTGGGCTCCTTAGCCTCTATTGTCATGTGAAACAATTTCTTTTTCTCTCTCACCTCCCACCCTTGCCCCCTTTTTCCTTTCTTTTCTCTCCTTCCTCTCCTCCCTCCGGATGGTTCTACAATTAGTTGTATTTCTCTGGAAAACCGTAATCCAGCAAGGAAAAAGCTAAGTGTAGTCTTAGTGTTATCATCCTTGGCTGGTCCCTCCAGCTCCCAGAGCTCACATTACAGGTTGGATTCCACTTTTTGTGGCTCATCTGATGGCTGCTCCTAATGTGAGGTGAGGGCAGGGCGGCAGCTCCCTGGAGAAAGGAGAAGGTGTGATCTATCTGTGGACACAAATAGAAGCACTAGATGGAAAAGGGACCCGAATCAGATGCTAATAGCTTCCACTACAGTAGACAATTAGCAATTAGCAGCCATTATCATCTTTTATATTTTGATTTTCTTCTCATCTAATAGGTGTGAAAGAAATAAAGTGCAGAAAAAATTGTTGATGGTCCACTTAAAATATAAATCACCTTTCTCCATCCATGTATTTGCATTAAAAAACATAAGATGTGATAATGAAGTTATAAAGTCATTAAAAATGTAAAAATAGGCTGGAGAGATGGCTCAGTGGTTAAGAATGCACACTGCTCTTCTAGAGGACCTGAGTTTGGCTTCCAGGACTCATCCCAGGTGATTTATAATCTTCTGTAACTCCAGCTCCAGGGAATCTGACACCTTTGGACTCTGTGAAATCCTGCGCTAACCACACACAGGACACACACGTGCACACACACACACACAATTAAAATAATAGGTCTCAACAAAACATAAAATGCTATGAAATGTTTCAGTAATACAAAACAACGCCTCAGGGCAATCTTTAGCAATCTTAATCACACCTTTCTGCTTCCCCAGACATAATCCAGTTAGCATTTAGTATGTAGCTTTTCAGAGTTTTTATTCTATTTTTTTATATACACATGCATGCTCATAGGCACACTTTTAAAGTTAGTTTTGAAGTTATCTTTCTTGGCACAGTGACCTGAGCACTTTCGTTTTCACTCAGCAATATGTCCTGAAGACCTTTTCCTGGCAGCCACGTTAGTCTTCCTCATTCTTTTGAATGGTACGGTGTAATTTCTAGCCTGTGTGTATCGTGATGTGGATAATTACCTGCCTATTAATGATGTCTCCGTGCCTCCCTTGTTTTTCCTGAAAACGTGCAGTATCAGAGCAGATAAAATTTGTGTTGAGCATGAAGTTGTGGGTAGGGAGATGGGAAGGATCTAGGAGGACTTAGTGGAGGGGAAAGAATATGATTAAAATACACTGGTAAAAAATTTAAAAAGCAATAAAAACAAATAAAACCTGTGTTCAGCATTTTCCTCTTAACTTTGCATTATTATACAGTCCTAATCATGTTACTATTGATTTATTTTAATTAAGAAAAAAAATTTTGAGACAGGGTCTTACTATGTAGCCTAGATTGGTGTAGAATTTGTGATGCTCTTGCTTCAGCCCCTGAATGCTGGGATTTCAGGAAATTGTTTTAAAGTTGCATCAAAATAGTGATTGAATCATCATTTACTTAATCAGCTTCCTACTTCTGGTTGCACAGGACAGGCCACAAATACTTATCTTTTCATTACATGTATACTATACAAATATATACATATAATGTATGTTATACACATGTTATTTACATACATGTACTTTAAAGCATTCTGTAATAATATGGAGCATATAAACTATGAGGTAATATAGAAATTCATTGTAATCATAGTGTATATATTTTCCCTATGTATTTTGCATGATTGCTGTGTCATTTTAATAGTAAACACAGGTAATGGTACTGAAAGGGGAACCAAGTCTTTAGAAAACAGGTCCTGTGGTCAGTGGAGGAGCAGAGACCTGATGGAGAAGCTGAGTTCTCATGACTAGGCATGCACTTCTAGCATTTGCTCTTCACACATGTAAATTCTGCTTGTACCAAGAGGTGCACAGACATAGCGTTTCCACTCCAGACCTTCTTCAAGCAAAATCAGCCTCAAGGTGGGGCAACCCGTGTGATGACAACCAGGAACCGGGTGAGAACAGAGTGAAGCGGGCCCGGGCGCAGGCACAGCTGTAATCCCAGCTACTCGGGAACAGGGCCATCCTCTGTAGCGTGCTTGGGCTATAAAGTAAATTCAAGACCGGCTTGGGAAACTTAGCAAGACCCTGTTTCCAAATAAAAGTTTAAAATAGGGTTGGGTTATAGCTCAGTGGCAGAGCAGATCCTCCTATGGATGAGGCTGTTGGTTTAATAGCCAGTACCAGAAAAACAAAACAAAACAATTTCTGTAAACATCCACACAACTCTTCCTACATTTTAATGATAGGTTATTAATGTTATAGTTATAAAATATTAATGTTAAAGCTGGTCGCGATGGTTCACGCCTGTAATCCCAGCACTTGGGGAGGCAGAGGCAGGCAGATCTTTCTGAGTTCAAGGCCAGCCTGGTCTACAAAGTGAGTCCAGGATAGCCGGAGCTACACAGAGAAACCCTGTCTCGAAACACAACAACAACAAAATGTTACTAGCACTGCTGCAAAGGCTACTGCATACCAGGTGCTCGTCTGGGTGTGAATTGTGCATTTTTATGAAGCAGTATCATGTGCTGTTTTAATACATGCATATGTTTTATGTTCAAATCAGGACAAACGTGTCTGTCAACACCCAACAGTGGCTACTTGCATACTTGTGGTGAAACCAGATGGATCCTTTTTTTGGTTCTCATTTTACCGACAATGAAAACTGTAGTGTGGAGAGGTTCTGAAACTTTCCCAGGTCTTCCTGTGGATAGGTGCCAAGCCAGAAGGTGATCAGATCTGCTTTTGTCTTCTGACCGCAGTGCTCTACTCCGGTTTCATGTTAAGTGATCAGTGTACACCTTCTCACGTGACAGATTTTCAACCATGTAGCAGTTGTTTAACAGAACAAGTAATGGGCAAGATGAATCCAGCTCTAATGCTGTAGCTGAAGCGGCCACAGTGAAAAGAACAACAGTTCACCTACCTTTTAGACACGGTCTAAAACAATGATCACTCAGTGATTGACCTTGATGGAGGTGCTCGCAGGAGCAGATTGGTTGACCTTAGACTTGAGTTTCAAGGAAAGCCACAAAATTGCTGATGTGGCTGTATACGTTCTGTGACAGATGACACAGTTAGCCAGAGAATTGATAAAGAGGCTTACAATCTGAAAATACCAACCCTGTTTCACCAACCTCAGGTGGGCAGGAGATTTCTGAGAGAGCCATGTCTTACCTCACTCCTGCTTTCCCGATGGCTGCTCTGGATGGCAATGAGCATGCGTCGGTGGCTTGTCACGGCAAGAAAAGTTGGGGGTGTCATGTTTTTGTTTGGGTCTGTGTAGGGGATCTGGGGGTCTTTGTGCTCGTACACATACGATATGGGGACCTGGAATGTTGATCAGGAGCACACAGGATTGTTCCTTCAAGGGAAGGAATTCAAAACCTGTTTTCGGCACAGAATGCTGAAGTGGGCATGCTTTCTAGCCTGTGGCCTTTGCACAGTCTGTGTGGTTGAAGTCTTTTCTGCACTAGATCCTCTTTCAGACTGTTATTGTAAATTTGCTTTTAGATCTAATGAGAGGTGTCACATGTACCTTACGAAGAATTTCAGTGCAGTCACGTCTGATTTGTACCTAGCTTACTTTGTTCCTCAAAGAGATTTAGTATGCTTTGTTGCACACACAGGATTGTTTAATAATTACAAGGACATATTTTCATCAGTTTGTGCTGTTTTTAAATCCATCTAAAATAACTTGGAGTCAGACTCCCAAAGTATGAACCAAACTGGTTACTGAGTCGTACTGGGCCAAACCACTTTCTTGCCTCTTGAGGCTCACACTCTGCTGACCGTGAAGGTCCCAGAGATTCTGGCAAATCTGGAAAAGGGTGAGACATTGCTGTACCTTTGAGAGATTCCAGAACAAGAAACTGACACTTAAGTGCTGACCACATAGCCACTGGGACAGGAATGTTTATACAGTTAGAATGCAGGTATGCTTGAAATGTCGTTCAAAAAAACATATACATTCATCCGATTTAAATTTTTCCTTCATTCGAATTTTCTATGTACCCAAGGAAAAGATTTGTTTATGAGCAATGAGTGATAATATCTGAAGCTATTAGTAATGCTAGTTTAACATGCTGTAATGCTTCTTGGAAAGGAGCAATTTAAGTAAACACTCTTCCTTCTGTACTTGGGACCAGCCCAGATCCCTCTTTTCTCTCTTTCTATTTGTCTGGTTATACCCCAACTTCAATGTATCTCCCTCAGTGGGTTGGAAACCAGAGTTTTTTTCTTTCACCTTTTGATTCTTTTCTTTTCCTATCTGTATGTCTCTCTCTCTGGTGGTCTGAATGAAATCAGCCCTCACAGGCTCATATATTTGAATGCATGGGTCCCAGTTGGTGGAACTGTTCCGGAAGGTTTAGGAGGTGTGGCCTTGCTGGAGAGGCGTATCATTCAGCATTTCTCTCTGCCTCCTACTTGCAGATAAGTGTGTAAGCTCTTAGCTGCTGTTCCAGTGCTGTGCCTGCTGACCTGCGGCCATGCTTCTCTACCTTGATCCATGGATTCACTGTCTGAAACTGTAAGTCTCAATAAACTCTTTCATCTATAAGTTGTGTTGGTTATGGTATCTTCACAGAAATGGAAAAGTAACTAAGGTTATCTATCTATCTATCTATCTATCTATCTATCTATCTATCTTTCTATCATCAATCATGTCTCAACTACTTTTGGTTATGTGTACTTTCATTATTGTTTCTATTATTGCCACTGCCACCATCATCACATATTTTTTCTATAGAGTAAAGATAAAGATTATGCTAAATAGTTTATGCAGTTCATCACATTAAAATATGTGTAATTTGATACATTATAATTGTATATGTATTTATAGAATACAATGTGCTGTTTTGATATATGTATAACAACATGGAATGACTAAATTAAGCTAATTAACATATCTATCACTTCAAATCCTTGTTTTAGGTGGGTGAGAATATTTGAAATCTACTTTTAACAGCTTTGAAACGAGCAATAGACTATTATTAACTATAGTTGCCATACTGTAATAGATATAAAATTCTTCCTAACTGAAACTTGATTTTCTTTGAGCAATATCTCCATATTAGTTTCACTTCCTCACACCCTTTTTAAACTTCTGGCAACCATCATTTTATTTCATTCTCTAGGTTCAACTTTTTTTTTTTCTTTTTTCCACTGTATATATATAAGTGAAATCATGTGGCAATTTTGTCTTTCTGTGCTTGGCTCGTTTCATTTTGCAGTGTCCTCAAGGTTCATCCAGGCTAGTTCAAGTGACTGAATTTTCTTTGTTAGAAAGACTGAACAGCATCATCCTGAGGATCTAGAACACGTGATGGAGACTTGGGTTGACTCAGTCTTTTGACTGTAGTGCAATGAACAGTTGGAAGGTACTCTAAAATCAGGGTTGGCAGCATTTACTCTTCCCATGATCACAAATGAGTTGCTGAAGCCAAAGACCCCAAATCATGTACTGAGTGGGTTTTTTTCTTTGAGTGGTGCCCATTGACTTGAAGGAAGCAAGGTAAGTGAGCTGTTAGAGCAATTGTTGACCTAGAGGACTCCTTTGAGTATTTATTTTTCTTTCCTTCCAACATGCATCACTCCTTCCCTTCCAATGAGTATATCTCCTTCCCTCCCAGTGTAGATCCTTTCTTCCTTTCTCATGTATCTTCCCTTCTTGTGTGCATGTTTTGGTATGTACTAGGATTTTGGTTGAAATATTTAGCTGTTAATCAAGCTTTCAAAATGACATTTTTAAAGAATGAGATTTTGAATAACACTAATCCTTCAAACACATTTCTTCATTGAGTTCACAGTTCTCTGGGTGTTCTGTGTATTAAGAGATAGGGTTTGGGGTATTTTCTTCTTTATTGACCCAGGGTTTCTAGCTTTCCAGTAGAGGCAATTGTTCTTGAATCAATCAAGCAAGACATTGATCAGAGGGTGTCTCTGATAACTGGGACAGTCCACCCCAGTGTTTCCTTATATGTATCCTAATATTATTCCTTATGTGTATTCTAATATTATTAGAATCTAATAATATTAGATTCTAATCAACAAGATAGACTGACTCCATGGATAAATCTGTGCAACACATAAATTTCAGTGTACAAATTTGGTTGTACAGAGAAATCTTTCATTTTCTAATTTTCTGTCATTCTTCCAGGTCAATGGGAAATTTTCGTTTGGACATACTTGGGTCCCTTCCAGTCTTCTTCCTCAGAGGGCTTGTGTCAAGACTCTGGCTTACAGAACACTGAGGCAGTGGTAGACGCTGCCCCACAGTTCTTGCTGTGGAGATGCTCAACAGCTCAACCTACACACCCTGTGGGTGAGCTTCCTGCTGCTCCTCTGTAATGTGGGGCACAGGAGCTTTCGTGAAGTTGGGAGCCCCAGTTAAAGATTTAACTCTGGGAGCTGTAAGAGATAGGGAATATTGTCTCTGCTCTTGTGGCCCCCAAATTCTCTCTTCTATAGCTCTGCTCTAGGAATAAAATCCAACTGGTCTTGCCATGCTTTTTCCTTCCATGGCGAAGAGATTGAGAAGACCAGAAGAAAACATACTTCCCACAGATTTTTACCGCCCGGGGATTGGGGAACAATGTACATGTAGTTCTATTTCTGTGTTTCTGTATCAAGGGCTCTTGAGAAATCTTTGATATTTACATTTATTTAAGATAGAGATCCCCAAATTTATTTGCTGTTAACCCCCTACCACCCTCCCCTCCTGAGACAGTGCTCTGGGGAATGCTCTTTTAGAAATCTGAGTGCTCTATGCAAATCTATTGCTGACTATACTTTGGAAGACAGGGGAGTATATTCTGACACCTTACAGAGGGACATTTGTTCCTGTTGTCTAAAGCTTAACTCATCCAAATTCTTCTATCCATCAGCCTTGATTTCTTTTCCAGCATTCTAAGACCTTCCTAGGCATCATCATTGCCACAAGGCAGGGCTTTTGAATTATATTCATAGGAACTCTGCATAGACATAGATGATTTATCTATCTGGTGAGCTTTACTGAATCTGGGGTTAAAAACACAAGTACTAGGATAGTTCTGAGAGGGTTTGTGCTCACCCCTGGCTGCTGGCACACAAGCCCGGTGAGTCTCTTTCTCACTTTAACAAGCATCAGACACTGTGAGCTAGCAAGGAGGGAGACAAACTCTGGCTGAAAGGGTGAAGACAGCAACCACCCTTAATCACTGCTCCATATTCCAGTGTATTCTTTTTAAGCAGTGTTTGTTTCTTGAGTATTTCAGTTCCTTATCTACCACTGGGCTCTCTGCTTCTCTGCTCAAGGTCATCTAGTGAGAACTGCGCCCCATCTTGGGTCCTGTTTTGGTTGTATTTCTTTTCTCCAGAATGATTTCTCACCCATGATTCATAAGTGGGAAACCTACCAAATCTTCACTGTTGTTCTACCCTTAGCTAGCAAGGGAAGCTAAGCCAAGTAGACAGAAGTACCCTGTGGGCAAATGCCTGGGGCTTCACTTGGCATTCCCCGGGCACTAGTCTGTGAGCCCCACTAATGAGGAGAATTTCAGGGGAGAAAACTTAGGCAGCAGGCTCTTCTGAATGCTGTCTTCTGATGTTTTTCCCCAGAGTAGGTCTGGCTTTCAGAAGGGAGTGTTAAAAGGAAGGCACAACTCTTAGAAAATGGTTTCTGGAACCTTCACTGCTGGAGGGAGGCATCAGGCTTCTTTGTGCTTTTTCCAAGCTTCTAGTCCAAAGCCTGGGGTCTGAGCTAACCTTGTGGACACTTTGTCCTTCATAACACAGAAAAACAAAGGCACCTGTAAAACCAGGGAACATCAAAGCTGGGAACCCCTGGGGACAGGCTCAGCTGCAGCTTGCGGCTCTCTGGAGGCACAAAGCGATAAGAGGCCCCACAGGGCAAGAAAAGACTTGAGATCTTCCATGTGAGCAGATCCAGGGGGATTTCAGTTGGGCCAACTAACTTCTCCTTACTCCACTCAACTGACCCTAGAAATGCTTGGCTTCACCACAGCACTATATCAATTACAGTAATTTACATGAATTATTTACCAATTATCTTTAATTACCAGGCTGCATGATAGTGATTATGCATATCATCAAATGTGTGCCAGATCAACTTGGTTGCAAGATTTATTTGATTGTAATACTAATCATTGTGCACATCTGTTTTTACTGTTTGGGAGTTGCTGAGGAGTGTGGGCATTTTCTCATACCTTGAAAACAATAGCACTAACACTGGAAGGCACCTGCTATTCGTGGACAGGTTGAAGGTAGAGAGAAAGATAAGCAATGATAATTACTATCTGCTCCCAACCCTTTAAATTTAGATGGTTAGTTCTGGGGACAAAGCAAGGCCAACTGGACCTCATTAAAATATGACCTTCTATTCTTGAGGTCAGGGACTTGGGTCTTACTCATATTTCTGCCTTAGTCTGCAACAGGTAAGATTTTCATAAATAGTGGTTGGGTTGAATTGAAGTGAATTTGGAATGGTAGCAGGCTTCATTTCGCAGCCAAAAATTTTTATACTGAGACTATCACAAAATAATGTACTGAGGCTATTTCTTCCACTACTCTGACAGCTCATAAGATCACGTCCATGGGATTTTATGGAGGCAAAAATATTACACAGAATGAAAGGCAATACTGATGTGCTTTGCGTTTATGACATCTGTGAGCTACAGAGCTAGCATCTCATTTCCGGAGAGAAGCTGAGCTCATTAATTGCTTAAATACACATGGCATTGGCTGAGACCACCATTATAGCAAAAGTCATGTGGTAACATTGTCAAGTAACTTGTGTTTTCTTGTTGTTAATAACATCATTATCATTGTTTTAAAGTAACATTTTTACATGAGCTACATTGAAGCCATACAGTAGTGAGAGATAAATCTCTTTCTTCTACTTCATGCCTGCAATTCATTTCTCAAGGGCAAGTTTGCCCATAGTTTATTTTTAATTCTTTAGAAAGATCTGTGCATATGCTTATATGTATATGGATAGTTTTTTCTTGAAAATGAAGAGATTAGGTAATGGTTAACATATGAAAAGTATAAGTAATAATGCTGCAAATAAAGATGTGTCTCACTGTCTTGTTTAATAAATAAAGCCATTGCAGTTGGAGCCTATGAATGCCCAGGTCCATGTCTGTCCAGCAGGTACTTGCTTTCTGAAATTGGTTCTCATGTGCACTCATGCTTTTATGGGGCATTTACATTTCCTAAAGCAATGTATAGCTAAACTTTTAAACTGTGCTTCTGGAATGACATTGTTCATATTGTTTAGATACTTCTAATTCTTTTTCCTTTTTCTTTTTCTTTTCTTTCTTTTTTTATTTTTTTGAGACAGGGTTTCTCTGTGTAACTTTGGCTGTCCTAGAACTTGCCCTGTAGACCTGCTGGCCTTGAACTCAGAGATCCACCTGCCTCTGCCTCCTAAATTCTGGGATTAAAGGCGTATACCGCTGTCCAGCTGTTCATATGCTTCTTTCATGTGATTTTTGCACTCAGCATTGTAAGAGCCATT